TTATTAAACAAAATCAATAAGCACATTTAAAATGCAGAACGAATAATTGATATATAAAGGTTTCGTATAATGTTATACAACAGTTTCGTCTGTTGTCTTACAGTTTTATATCGCTTAGTATGCTATTATTCACTGTTCAGTAAATTACAAGCTTTTTTTTTCCAGTTCTTTATTTTTCATGACAATTTTCAATGACTAAATGCATTATTAGTTATTGTACAGCCAATAGCACTGTATTGTAACCAATATATCAGTAAATTTTTAATTAAATTTCAAAAAAAATCTTTGATTCAAAACTAGTAACCTTGTATAGCGTATGAGTTGTAACCGATACTTTTACTTCTTTATTTTTTCTTCGCTTTACACGAAGCTATTCAGTATTTTACGTCTTTTTGCTACAATCAAATTTTTGTAGCTATTTAAAAATTTAATAAGAGAATGTTTGCACAAAATAACTTTTTTTCGAGTTCTTAACCTAGCTATCCTTTTCCTTACTAAATAAATACCGGAAGTATCTTTAGTTCGTAACTAAAATACAAAAATTTTTAGACCACTTTTATTGCTTTTTTATTTAGTTGCTGTTCGGCAAGTTACTGAAGAACGTATTATAAATTCAAACAATATATTTCCGTGAATGAAAATAAAGCACGTTTAAAATTCATCACATTCATTCGCAAATATGACTTTATTGTTGTCAGTTTTGAACAGCTTTCACTTTTTATTTTTAAATTTTAATATATTTTTTATGAATAGACAGCGATTATTTTTAGTGCTTATCTATCAGTACCTGTTTCATTTGGCTTCAGTTATCTGCCGTTCTCCAACACGTCTATTCCAACACATATTCTGTTAATAATTAGTAAAGAAGTTACTTTTACGACAAAGGCACAAAGGCATTTAATCGGTTTTTTAAGCTATTCTCGAATTAAAAATGATTAAAAAAAGCAAATGCTGTCATCACTTTTTCGACAATTTAAGGTATTCACTAAACTAACTGTTTACTGTTGTTTGCAGTAAGCAAAGACTGCTGTAAACCAAGTGTATAAAATAATTGGAAATGACCAGAAATTTTGTAGATGATATGTACGCAGAAGTGTAAAACATAAGTTTGGAATTAATTAGCCTAAAATGTACTAAAATTTTTTCTTTCTGGAAATGCAGAAAAAAGTGAAGCGATTATTTAAATGATTTCAAACACGTGGTCAACAACCTGTTTCTTCATAGCATTTCACCAAATAGTACCCTATCACACTCAGCAGTACTTTACAATAAGATTACAGATTATAAACATGTTTTAGAAGTTTTTTTACCTATTTGCTCTTTT